CACACACACACACACACACACACACACACACACACACACACACACACACACACACACACACACACACACACACACACACACACACACACACACACACACACACACACATATTTTCCAGGCATTCATACAAAAGCAAAGGGGGCACATTTGTTCTGTTCCCTCTATTTATAGTCAGCCTGAATATGTGGAAGGCAATGAATGGAAACTAGACATGGGGACGAATAAAAAAAAATGGATTGCAATATTCATCAGGAATCGCTGATTTCTTAAATATTCGTCCCTTCATATTCGTGGGTTCCAGAGACCCCGATGAATACAAAGGGATGAATATTCCCCATTTTTATTTGTCTCCCATATGAACAGAGGGAAGGCTAGCCTTCCCTCCCTTCCTATGGCTTTCCTGTTCTGCCTACCGGCCTGCCAAACAGCTGATCAGCGAGCCAATAGGCAGCCACCCACCCCCACAGCCTATCCCCCACCCCTTCCTCTCTCTACCTTAGCCACCCCTGACCACCACCCTGCTGCCACCCTCATCCCTGCCGACACCCCCACCATAATTGCCACTGTCTCCCTTAGCCAATCTTAAGGGAGTCCAGGCTACCCTTTGCAAAGATGGCAGCTGCAGCTTCCCTACCCTAAATAAAGCCGCATCCATCATCTTTGCAAAGGCCAGCCAGTGTCCCTTTCTACGGGCCGTGGCTGCAGAGGCCTGCTGAAGATGGTGGCAGTGGCGGCAGTACTGATTATGGTGGGGGGACATTGGTGGGGATGGCAGGGGGCATTGGCGTGGGGAATGGGGTGATGGTGGTGGCATGGGGACATGGGGGTGATCAGGGTTTTTTGTAACCCCCACAAATTGACGAATAAATTTGTCCTTTGTCGGTTCATGGAGGCAGTTTCATGCTTCATGAGTCGTCAACTTTTGATGACTCACAAAGCAGGATGACTTGCCAAAATGGTGAGTCGTCCCCATCTCTAATGGAAACCACCCATGAGCTGTGGGTTCTCTCCTCCATGTTCATTGTGACCTTGATTTCCCAGAATACCAATGTACATGGAAACCTCTCCATGGATGACAGAGTATAGATGGGCACAAACCAGAAAAGCAGTGGTTCGTGATGGTTTGAGGTTTGTAGCACACAAACCACAAACTTCCACAAACTTCCCCCTCAAAAAATGAATGGTTTGTGGTTCACTTTTTTGGTTCACACTGGGGGGGGGGGACAGTGGACAGGCAGGCACTTCCACACAGGAAGCAGGCCTATCTTCTATGTATGGAGCCAGGCCTCATGCCTCTCAGGATAGGGGAAAACATTTTTCTACTTTGTGCTTCATNGGAGGGGTGGACCTCCATTTTGCAAAAGCAAAATGAAGCACAGAGCTAAAAAAAAGTTTAGTGCTTCATTTGATTTCTGGAAAACAGGTTGAACAAACTGAACTGAACCACAAACTGGCCCAGTTTGTGTTTTTCTGTTGTCTGTAGTTTGGTTCATGCTTTTATTTATAATAACGGCTCTGCTGCTCAGATTCGTCACCATCAAGGAGTTCATCCATTTTGCAAAAGCAAAATGAAGCACAGAGCTAAAAAAAAGTTTAGTGCTTCATTTGATTTCTGGAAAACAGGTTGAACAAACTGAACTGAACCACAAACTGGCCCAGTTTGTGTTTTTCTGTTGTCTGTAGTTTGGTTCATGCTTTTATTTATAATAACGGCTCTGCTGCTCAGATTCGTCACCATCAAGGAGTTCAAGGTGATAAAACTGGAGGCATCGGAGGTGAATATACCCAAATATGAGAACCTGAAAACAGCTATAGTCTAGAAATAAACAGACAGCCATTTCAGATATTCCAAAACAGCTATTATAAGTTTACAATGATCCACAACTGAATAGAAGAACACAATACAAAGAACATTTTAATTTTCTGTGTATGTGTTTGTGTGTGTGCACACCTGTTGATCTGTATATAGACACATATATATGCATTGTGCACAGTCTCTCTCTCTCTCATGTACATACTTCGAGTTGCAAGCAGGATGGGAGATATTTAAATAAATATTGTATTCACAGTATACAAGAATCTTTCTTTTGTTCTGTAGTTCTCCAAAGTAGATTTGGCTACATTCTCTTTAAAAATGCACTTTTATCCTTCCTCGTCTTCATTAATTTGTTTGTTCAGGGCAGTATCTCTCATTCACCTTCTCTGCCCCTCACTTGATTGTACATTTCAAAAACTTGTGCAGGAGTCAGATATCCCACTGAGCTCTGAGGGATTGGTATTAATAAACACATTGATTTTGTGTTACACAGGAGGGAGGCATTGTTAAGCCTTCCTCTGTTACTTAGATAAAAGGAATCATGCCCAGCAGGTACATGCTTCTTGGACTAGCCTGTTAAGGGCATGTGTGCATTTGTGTGTTTTACAATATGTTTAGTTATTTCTGTAACTTTTAGTATTAAACTATCCAGGAATCCATAAAGTCACTTACTCCGTTTAGCATTATGGCCTTTCAGGGTCATTTCACACTTAAATGGACATGTGAATGTTCTACTAAATATTTATAGGAAAAAGAGCTGCAGGCAACCATCACCCCCTCACTGGTATGTTTGTACTGAACCCATATAAGCAAATAACTATTTATTAGAATGTTACTTTATGCTACTTACATGCTAAAGTGGGATTACAGAAAATAATGCAGCCTATATTCTAAAGAAAACTGGGATTTTCAGCAAAGTTGATTGTTTAGGCACCAGCTGTATCTATTATCAGGGGTTTTTTGGGGGGGTTGCATTCTGTAGAAAATGTGTTATGTGATATCCAGTTAACATTGGACCAAAATGTAGTTTTCTGTAACCTCCACTTACCCACCAATTTCTGTGATAAAGGCCAAGAAAGAAAACATTCTGGCCTTTATTGGGACATAATTCAGGGTTCTTGTCTCTGTTCTAACAGAAAGCTAAAACCTAGGGCCTTCAGATTTGGAACCTCATTTACCTCCATGAGTCTCTTCATTTGCAATTCAGGCAGGATTCTTTGAACTAAACTGTTTTTATTATGGGAAGTGGATTTCAGCTTTAAGGGAAAACTTGAGCTCATTTGATTTGGATGCAACACATGCTAAATATCCTAAACTGACCTGTGGCAATTCTATTAAATGAATGGGTTGAGCACTGTTGCCTCTACAGAACTATTTAGACACGTGGTATTGTTTTTTTTTTCTAATATAATACTTGCAGTATTTTTATTTTAACACAGTGTGGTGTATTAAACAAAGTGACAGACTAGGACTCAGGAGACCCAGGCTTGAGTCCTCTCTTGGCCATGACAGATGTGACCTGACAGCACAGAACATGCACATATTTATTTCTAGTATTACAATATTCTTACACCATTGGTCTATAACTGTGCTTCTAGCTTAATTGTAGCACACTTCTTCCTTCAACAATGCTGGGTTAGAGGCACCAAACCCCTGTGTTGTAAAAAATCTGTGTATAACTCATGCCCCTAAAAATGTAACTACAAACTATAAAGAGTTGATTCACATGTATGTTCATGCGTGCGCGTGCACACACAAAGGGAGTTCAAGGATTGAAAAAGGCTCTTATCAGAGGGAGAAAACAGAGGTGTGATGTCTCCTCCCTTCCCCCAATGGAGCAGCATGCCACTGTGACCTCTCCCAACCTGCATCGCCCTCCCAGCATGCCTCAGCACCCTCTGTAGCCACTATCTGAAGTGTATAGGACAGAACAGGGGGCCATCATTCTGGAACACCACCATTAGACCAGGGGCTGCTGCACTCTCAACAACAGAGGTCGTGGTAAGTCCAAGTCCCACCTTTCTCAGGCCAGTTCCTGAAGATGAATCGCAGCACAGTATTTTTTGAATATTAACTTATTAAATACCATATTTTTCGCACCATAAGACGCACTTTTCCCCCACAAAACAGGGGGGTGGAAAGTCTGTGCGTCTTATGGAGCGAAGAAAACAGATTATATTTTCCTGTTTTCTTCTCCTAAAAAATTGTTGTGTCTTATGGAAAGGTGAGTCTTATGGAGCAAAAAAATACGGTATTTATTTATTGAATATGTATGCATTTATCTATTTAGTGAAATAGTGATTGATTGATTGATTGATTGATTGATTGATTGATTGATTGATTGATTGATTGATTGAATAAAAATCTGTGTATAACCCAAACCGTGCTGCTGAAACCTGTGCAATTTAACGGGGAAGTGTATTCCCTCATTCATTGTGCTAAAATTTTGGAAGAGGTAGCGGTGTTAGTCTGTGCAAGCACATTAGGCAAAATCTAAAGAAACAAAATAAAACAAAGCAATTTAAATAAGAAAAAAAACATGTGGCACCTTAAAGAATAACCGTTATATCTTGATGTAAGCTTTCGTAGACACGTCCGCTTCATCAGGCATTAAGAGACACAATGAAACAAAATGAAATGTATATGAAATGTCAGTTTCACATTCTAAATGTTCATTGGTTACATGCAGTAATTACGCCTATGTTTTACAGTTGTAAAAACACTTCAGGAAGACAGAAAACAAATACCAGGTCTGAGGGGGGGAGAGAAGAGAGGGGGATTGGGGGATTTCACATACACTTCATTTCATTTCATTCTTTCTCTTAATGTCTGATGAAGTGGACATGTCCATGAAAGCTTACACTGCAATATAATGTTTCTTAAAGGTGTCACATGTTTTTGTCTTTTTTTTTTTTTTGGTATTGTTTTGTTTCTTTGGATTTTACCTGACATCATTGTTTTGAGACAATTTTGCCAGCTCAATACTGAGGGACAGAAATAAACTATAAT